AGGGCTTTGTCTAAGCTCACAAGGTTGCTATGTCAATGAAAATGGCCAAGAGAGTGAGCTTGAGCCGGCCATGGGGCTTAAATAGAAGCCTCCACGAAATAGAGCCGTTGTACCCCTTCACTGGGCACAACACGGGGTGACCGGACGCTCCGCTCATATTGACCGGACGCTGGTCCTCAGCGTTCGGTCGCCCGATGGTGGCCATGTGTCACCAGCGTTCAACTGTGAATGTTTGATCACAACGTTCGAAATGTTGACCGGACACTCCGACAGAGCTGACCGGACGCTGGACCCTCAGCGTCCGGTCGTTTCTAGTAAGGGTCCAAATCCTATTTTTGCCGACCGGACGCGTCTGGTCAAGCTTGATCGAACACAGCCCAGCATCCGGTGCTCAACCCTAACCACTGAGCCGTCTGATAGCTCGACCAGACGCAGCCTTTCAGCGTCCGGTCGCTGAGTGACCCAGCGTCCGGTCAGTAGACTGACGCCAGCATCAATTCGACCAACTCCATTTCACCTCTAACTTCTTCACCCTTGTTCAAATGTGCCAACCACCAAGTGTATCACCTTGTGCACATGTGTTAGCATATTTTCACAAACATTTTAAAGGGTGTTAGCACTCCACTAGATCCTAAATGCATATGCAATGAGTTAGAGCATCTAGTGGCATACGAGTTTCACCCCTCTTAATAGTACAGCTATCAAACCTAAATGTGATCACACTCTCTAAGTGTCTTGATCACTAAAACAAAATAGCTCCTATAATTTATACCTTTGCCTTGAGCCCTTTGTTTTTCTCTTTCTTCTTTTCAAGTCGAAGCACTTGATCATCACCATACCTTCACCGTCATCATGTCATGATCTTCATTTGGTTCACAACTTAGAATATGCTACCTATATCATGATCACTTGATAAACTAGGTTAGCACTTAGGGTTTCATCAATTCACCAAAACCAAACTAGAGCTTTCACTTTCGCTCTGCTCTCTCTCTCTACTTGCTTCTGTCGCTGGAGGCCGCAGTCGCTGCGCGTAGCACTGCAGTCGCCGCATCTCCCACCCGCAACAGGCCCAGTGCCCCACCGTCGGCATGCCTCCTTCGCTAGGCCGCCATCCGCACTAGGAGCCGCCGCTGCCCCGTAGCATCGAGCCCATCCCCACCGTGTGCGCCCCACGGTGAACCGAGCTGCTCTGGGCGACCTAAGCTGGCACCTACGCTGCTCCCATTGTCGGCCACAGTACGCGCACCGCCCCTCCCTTCCCTGCTCCACGCGCCCACAATGCCCCGCCATCGCCCGGTTTCCCTCGCGTGCACGCGTGAAGCCCACGGCCGCACTGGACCGAGCCCCTCGCGCGCCTCCCTTTCACCGTCGTTCTCCCTTTCCCTCGCGAGCGCGCTAAGCCGCGCTGCCCCGCGCCGCGACCCCGTCGCAGCCCGTCTTGGCGAGTAGCCACCGATGTTGTTTTCGCCAACCCCAGCGATAACCAAGTTGGCCTGGACCTCTCGCCGTACCTTGCAGGCCACGTCAGCATCCCCGTCGTCGTCCGGTTCCTCCGTTTCCACCGCGCGCGGGGGCACGCCTTAGACGCGTCTGCCGTCGTTTCTTCTTCGTGTGCGTGCGAGCCCGCACGGACCCGCGCTGGGAGTCGTCCGTCCCGTCGTCGCCGTGGCGCCCTCCCCTGCCGGACCCGGCCATCGGTGAGGTCCTGCGCGCATTCCTCTGCTCTAGACCAAGTGAAGGACGAGAGGGACCGCGGGGTAAGGAATAAGTCTTTCCAGGGTTCTCATTGTAATTTCCGTGACTCACTTGAATAGTATTTTTGTCCTAGGGGTGGATTAGATAAAAGTGCGGCGGCCTCGGCGTAATTTGGGTCGCCGCTGCTGGGTTTCCCCGCCTAGGCCGGGTACGGCGCGTCCCGCGTGGGCCGGCCTGCTTCGGCTGGGCCACACCACTTGGCCGCTTGGGTCGCAGCCGGCCTTGGGCCGCTACCGCGTGCGCGTTGGTGGGCTGCCGGTCGAGCGCATCGTTGGGCCGGTCTGCCGCCTGCCGACCTGGTGCCTTCTGGGCCACGCGCCCGCGTTTGGCTTGCTGGGCCGCTCGCGCGCCGCTCCCGCTGGGCTGAATTGGTGGCCGCTAGCCTTTAGTTTTCTAAGCACTTGTTAAATTAGTTTTGGAAATAAACTTGCAAAATTGTGTAGGTGTCCAAAAACTGATGAAACCAATTTTGTTAGTCTCCTAAAATCATGATCTACCTGTTAGTATATTTTGTTCACATAGTGTGATAATATTCTTGGGAACTATATAATTAATTTAAGATACTTAAGATTATAAAAATATAAACTTGTAGGAATTATTATGATAAATTAGTGATAGTGTTGGATCTGAAATTTTTACAGTAGACTCCTAGCAATATTAGGTACTCACTGTAATTTTTCTAGCTCCGGAATGGTTAGTTTGCTAAATAGATAATGATGTCCTATTGCGAATAAAGACTAAATTGATAGAATAGAATAAAGAAATGACTTGGGTTTGATAACGCCTTATTCGACAACAGGGATACGTAGACCAGCGTTCGAGCTATCTCGTAAGCTTGTGAGGCGTGATCGGATTTCTAAGCATTTCAGCTGTCGTTGGTTATTTACATCGATGCATTTGCATCAATGCATATCATATAGGTACGATGATGGATGAATGGATCAATTGAAGGATGATTGGAAATCCGAAGATGGTGTAATGGTATTCTCTCCAGGAGATGATGCAATGGGCTTTCTATTTAGTTGATGGTGGATGATCTGAAGATGCAAATACTAACTTTTTAATATATATCTTACCCAGGCAAGCCCCGGTGCATAACCCCTACTTTTCTACAGTTTAAATTACAATTGTGCATTAAGTTTTAAAGAGTTGATTGAAACCCACTTGTATATATATATCTTTATCCTATGAGTCTTACTAGTATGATAAGATCGTCTAGATTGCTATGCTACAGGACTCTGATAGAAGTCGAGTGATTGCGTGTCACTCGCGAGAGATAGGAAATATATTACTGAACTATTATCACTTGAAAAATATGAATGGTGGAAAGGAAATTGGTGACTGGGCAGGAATATGATTTGGGTATTGGTGGGTGTAAGAGGTTGTGTTACCGTGGACGCGGGGCATGGCTTGGTTACACTGCTTTCCCTATCTGTGTCGATTAAGGGCCGGCCGTTGCATAAGGCTCTAGGCAAGTCACAGACTTATTATCCCGAGCACATACTTGGGTATGGGCGCTTGGAAGGCTTGTTGCTCTCTTGTCGTGGGTTCTGGCTCTTTCCGGACCGACTGTCAGGGTTTTTTTTGGTGGTGGAGGTCCTTGCACCGCACTGAGTCCGGGACTCAAGGGCGGGGGCTTAGAGTCCCAGTTTGAACGGGGACCTAGGACCCCAGGACATAAGGGTGATGGGTTGGTCCTGCTTGTGCCTTGGGTACAAGCAAGGCGTGTGTTTTTGGGGTATCCAGCTGGGGGCATTGATTCACGAATCGCCGGGCGATCCGGTACGGCTTGTCTACGGTTTAGCATCGTAGTAAGAACTGAAAGATAAAAGATGAAAGATGAAAAAAGGAAATCTGATTGCTTACCACCTGCTTAAAAGTAGCACAGGTGCTTACATAGAATGGTTAGTTAATGAACCAATGCGGCTATTAATAAAAATTGAATATAAGGACACATACTTAGTAATGCTTCCTGCAAATGTAATAAACCCAAGCCAGATAGCCTTGCATATCCTTGGAGTCTTTTTTTTCCTCCTATCGAGTAAGTCTTGCTGAGTACAATTGAGTACTCAGGGTTTTATTTCTCCTGTTGCAGGTGACAGGTGGATGCTAGAGCTGACCCTTGTGTGTGGATACCTCCTGGTGGGCTCAGCGAGGATTCCTTTACGCTGCGATCATAGTTGTTATTTATAATTCTCACCAAATACTTTTATAAATGAAAGTTTCATAATCTGTTGTCATAATTTATATATCAATACCTCATCATGCCATGAATAAATATTTATTTCCATTGTAATTCTGATAACATGTTTATATTCCGCTGTTAAATTAAATTGTTCATAACTCTGATAATATGATTACATTCCGCTGTTATAGTAATAAATATTATACTCTGATGTTGTATTAAAAGTGATGTAAGAAATGATTAAGAATGATGAAAGCTTCATTCTCTCATTTGTGATCCTGATAGAAAAATGTGGATTTTCGGGTTCTCTCCTATGGTGTGCCCGACGAAACTGAGTAATTTAGTGTTATCCCTTAGGTGCTTAGTGTCTAATGGAAGACGAGCACTCCTGAGAGGCATTAGATTAGGTGGTTCTGCCACATAGATCCCATCCCGATCCCATTTCTTTGAGCTTTGCCACAAGGACCAGGGCGGCGCTGCCAAGGAGGTTCATGAAGAGATGCCATGCCACCAGCCTATCTGATCCCATCTCTCTCTGCCCTCGCGCAGACGAGCCGCCCAGAGCAGGTCAGGAGCGGGAGCCCTGGCGGTTCAAGGCGTACCGACCATGAGGAGATCTGTGCCACTGGTCTCCATGGGCAACCGGCCGGAACATAATATAGGTGCGTCCCTTCGCTATGGCGGGTCCCAATGCCCAGCGCGTTGCGCCGCCCGCGTTGATTGAGGTGCAAGGGTGAGTGCAGCAAGTCCAGGGAGGGGAGGAAGGGAAGGGGGAGGAGGCTTGGTTTTATTTGCATAAAGGCGCATGCGAGTCACTCTTCGCTAGAGGAGCTGTTGAACCCTTTGGTGGGGCTATTCCGACATCTGCTTCGAGATCCTCAAGGCCATCGTGAAGCTGCTCAACACCAACATCACGATTTCCGGCGATCACATCGCTGGCACAGATACAACATTTAGGCACCATCATCATCTCTTACAAGGCGACCTCGTCCCTCTCTCCTACATTGTCGGCCTCATCACAGGGCGCTAGAACTCTGTCGTGGTGGCCTCCGATGGCAGGATGGTGGATGCCGCCGAGGCATTCAAGATCGCCAGCATCGAGCACGACTGCTTCGAGCTGCAAACCAAGGAAGGTCTCACCATGGTCAACGGCACCGTCGTGGGCTCTGGCCTCGCATCCACCGTGCTCTTTGAGGCCAACGTGCTCACCATCATGGCCGAGGTCATCTTCGTGGTGTTCTAGGAGGTCATGACCGACAAGCCGGAGTTCACTGATGAAGAGCCCCTGGTCATCCAGGAACTCAAATGTGATACAATACTAGTCCCAAGAGGCTAGTAACACATTTATTACATCAGATAAGTCTTAGTACAGTAGTCTCGATAAGCATGGGCAATAAAGACATGCCACGATTAGAAGTAACCAGAACATAATATAGGTCCAACAGACCCAGAAACAAAAGGAATCACAGTCAAACATCTGACGGGTTCCAATGCCACAGGCTTAGTTGGGTGTAGACATGACCTTACTCGAACGCAGCTTCGGGATTGAAGTCCAAATCTTCCTTTGTTCAACAAAGCAAGGGTGAGTGCAAAGTACTCAACAAGTCCAACCTTACCCTACGGAAGGGGATAACAGTACATGCATATGGATATATCAAGGATAAGGCTTGGTTTTATTTGCATAAAGCTATCTTTAGACACATGCAGGGTTTCATTTCATAAATACATTTGCAAAAGTCATCTATTTTCCGTATATATAAGAGTAATTCTGAAAAAGGGGTTTGTCACAATTTTAAGTGTTGCTGAACCCTTTGTTCCCACAACACATGGCCGTTAACCATTCATTTCTAAAATCACACACACGCTCATGTTTCCACTCATCCCTACCCATCTAGTTGTTGAAACCAAACCGTAACCCGTCCAAGACCGTGGACACGGCTATCTAGATAGATTTTACACTCTGCAGAGGTTGTACACTTTCACCACATGTAGGATACCGTAACTTAACACCGTCGTGCAAGCATAGATCCATCAGAGACATTACCCTCCATAGCTGAATACTGGCGCTCACCACGGGCACACTAAGGAAACAATATCATAATACAATAATTTACAGAGCTCATTACATTTCATACAATTCATCAGTTTCCACATACATCTCTTAGTGTCCCGTTGCACACCTGCCTCCAGGTGAATGCCATACCAACTAGGGGGATTTAGAATAAGCCTTGCCACGTACAAGGTCGAGTGGTTGTACGATAAAATGAGTTAGATGAGATGAATCATCAACTCAGTCCTTAATCGAGACAAGGTGGATATCTTCATGCTTAACCATAAAAGGTACAAGCCACAACACCACGGCATCCCACAAAAGGGATCCGATCCGCCCCATCTATAGGGTAATCACCATCTATAACTTGTTCATTAACCCTTTCACAATACCCACAACTTATCATCACTATTCACACAGTTTTCATTTAAAATCATTGCATTTGAGAAAATCATAGTGATGAGTATACATGATGAGTACCAAGTCCTAAGGATACTACATAACGATATTTCGTCATAGCATATTATTTATTTTTAGGTTTGAACAAGACATTTAATGGTAATATCGATGCAACGATGGCTATTCAAACGGATTTAGCTAAGCAGCGAAAATACCTCGTGCGTATATTGTACATGCAATATTTAAAACGGTTTCTACGGGTTGTGTTTAAAAATGGGATCAATATGCATCAAAAAGGATTAGATTGGACTTGCCTCCGTCGACGTCCTCGGCAAACTCCTATTGGTAGTTCGGGTACTCGGCGTCGAACTCGCGGTACTCGTTCTCCGGCTCGTTCCCTTTCTCTCTAAAAATGTCCAAACAACCGAACAACGGACACAATTAAATAATAAATTCAAATGAGCTCTAAAAATCATGAAACTTGTATGGGAGGTAGAGTTTGATTTTAGATAAATTTAGGGAGAAGAATTGATGGAATCGGAGTTCGTATGGTTAAGATGCTGGCTTTTCAACATTGGCTATTACAAAATTCTGAAAATGATATAATAGAAAAGTGGTATTTGTATGGCTGATCACGTGCTCTATTGACTGGCGGTGCTTTTGGGCCTTTCGACCAACATTTGGTCCGAGTGCCCCTTTTTGTTGCTGTTGTGGACCAACTCAAAAGAACAAGTGACATAGAAGGGAGAGAGAGTCGGTCACAGAGACTGGGAGGCTGTACAGGAGCGTTCGTCCTTGCGCTCAGCTCGCCCGCCATGAGCGGCTACTGAAGCTCATGGGGAGCATAGCAAGGAAGGGGAAAAGATGATTAAAGGCTCGAGGAAGATGGAGGATGGATCGGAGATGCTCACCGTAGATGGAATCGAACTGCGGTGGGCTGTGCGTGGAGATCGACGAGGGCACGGTCTGTTCGTGCGAAGAACAGAGGAAGCTCGGTGCGAGGAGGAAGAAGGTGAGCGGGAACGCGAGATGGCTCGGCGGCTCGGCTGCTAGGTGGAGAAGCTGCGGGCGTCGTCCTTTATAGGCCGGGGCAGTGGAAGCTGTGCCACCGGCGCGCTCCTCACCATCAATGGAGTCGCTGCGGCGCCATGGCAGAGCTGCACTCGAGAGGACGGCCGCGTGCGTGAGCAGGGCGAAGGACGACCGACGTGCGGTGGCGCTGAGGCGATGGCGCAGTTGACGCTGGGGCAGCACGACGTGCGGCAGTAGCCGGTCGGCAGTCGGCACGCAAGCGGGTACGAGTGAGACTGGACGGCACGCAACGGGTACGAGCGTGGCTCTGCTGCCTGTACGTGATTACTACTGACGTCTGACGTCTGTTGCTCTGATGTGCTGTGCTAGCTGCTGGTTGAAGAAGAAAGGAGAGGGAGGTGGGACCCACGGCGTGCACGGCGCGCGACAGAAGGATGGGGCCCACATGGCGTGGTGTCTAGCGGACGGCCGCAGTCGGCGAGGGGGGCCGGGCACGGTGCGCCGCAGCGGCGGCGGTGGGGCTGGCGCACGTGGGCGTTGTCGGGCGAGGACGAGCGGAGCGCGTGCGAGAGCGGCGGGGGAGGGCTGCCAATATTATTGGTGCGATGCGAGGGATATATATTTGATGGAGAACAAAGAAATATACTTGAAATGAAATAAGTATAAAGAAAATTTAAATAGAGTTCAAATGACTTTAGTTTTTAAAATACATTTTAAAAATATTTTTGAGCTAATGATTTAAGATTTGAATTTTAGAGACGTTACAATCGACCACCAGACGCACAAGCTGAAGCACCAACTGGGACAGATCGTGGCTGCCGCGATCATGGAGCACATCTTGGAAGGCAGCTCCTACATGAGTGCCTCAAGGTGCTCGTGGCCATCAACCAGCGCAAGCACATGGACTCGCTGCTCGAGTGCCTCAAGGAGTGGAACGGCGAGCCCCTGCCGCTCTGCTGAGCTGCACCTGCACTGCGTAAGAGCAGAGAAGTATATAGAAGAAAAACAAAAGTATAGCGGCTCAAGACGGAGCGTTTCAAGATCATTGTGAAGTTTTTTAACAATCATCAGACTAGCAGAAGATACTTTTGGGCCTGTTCGCTTGAACTTATCAGCCAGCTTATCAGCTTACAATATTTTTTTTTCGTAACAAAATAGCTTCAGCCGGCTTTAATACCAGCCGAATAGGCCACTCAGTGTTACCCACTCATTATTACCGTTCCTCATACTAGGGCCTTGTTCATTTTGCAAATTTTTTTAACTCGATGAATAGTATCACTTTCGTCTTATTTGGCAAATATTGTCCAATCGTGAACCAATTAGGCTTAAAAGATTCATCTCGTGATTTCCAACTAAACTGTGTAATTAGTTATTTTTTTACCTATATTTAATACTCCATGCAAGCGGCTAAAAATTGATGTGATGAAGAGAGAGTGAAAAAACTTGGAATTTGGATGACATCTAGATTCCAAGTTTTTTCACTCTCTCTCCATCACATTAAATCTTTAGACACATGCATGAAGTATTAAATATAGATAAAAAATAACTAATTACACAGTTTAATTGTAAATTACGAGACGAATCTTTTGAGCTTAGTTAGACCATAATTAGACAATAATTGTTAAATACAAACGAAAGTGCTACAATGCCGAATACTGATTCCTAACCGCGAACTAAACAAGGCCCTAATAGCTAAAGTTCATGTGAATGTTGTTGTGTTCCCGCAGCTGCGACGCCATGGCCTACAATGTGCATTTTCGTGGTTACAAGAGTGTTTCCAGCAAGGAACTCATATGGGCATCAAAACCTAAAATGGGTAGCAAGACACCTAAAATCAGCCTTTAACAGAGTACCTATACGGAAGATTTATTTTGGGTTACCTGAGAGGTACAACCCAAATATGGACATCCTCTCTTCTGAAAACCCATTTGCAGAAAGGATTCTTTTTTTGTCTTGTTGTTGGAGAAGATGCCGAATATATATTAAATCTTTTACTTGTACGCTACCCAAATGATGAATGGATCTTGTATTTTGGATGTTGTTGTTGGAGATAGCCTAAGAGCTCCCTCTTATCTATATCTAAACTTTTTTTTGACAACGAGCACACTTTTATTTCAACAGCATGAAGCTGATAGAATGGTTACAGAGTCTGTAACTACAGAGGTCAGTGCATCCCTTAACGGGCACTGTAGAACATGGCTTCTGTTGGAACAACTGAATGATAGACTCGTTGGCTGGGATTGAACCCCTACAAATGCATGTTTTGCTAATGTATGAGTAGTTTGGTTTTGGCTGCTTCTTATCTTGAAGACACTTGTGTTTCTCTGCATTGTTGAGTTGACGAAGTTCTGTGTGAGATGCTTGATCCTCCAGTCAGGTGGCGTGGACCTATATCTGTTACCGAAGAAGTTGACAAGTTCTTGATTGTCAGATAGGAAGTTGATGTTGTGTAAATGCAGGCTCTCAGTGACAGCAGCGGCAAGCGCCATGGCTGGTGCCTCTGCCATGACCACCGAGACAGTCTGCAATTGCTGCCTTGATGTAGATATTTTGTGGAGGATTCGTTCCTGTGTTGACGATGAAGATTCCCAGGCCAGCCTTTTTTGGAGGTGAGGAGACTTGATCTGGCATAGTTGATGCATGTGTATAGCATCTGGATCCTGGGAGCAGTGCTGGTAGATGAACAAGATATGTGTTTGAAGGCGAGTCATTGTACCTGTGCGCCTGATTGTGGTCTGCATCCTGAATGCTACTTTCTCAAATGCACAGGTCGATGCCAAAGCATAATCAATAAGTGTACAAACATTTCCAGATAGAAGAATTTAAAATTTGTCACCAAATAGCATAAACTTGGAGCCTCAAACGCACAGGTTGAAGGCAAATTATAATCACGTGTAGAAATGTTCCGAGATAGAAGAATTTAAAATCTGCCACCAAATAGCAGCAACTTCGAGTTTCAACTCCTAACAAACCATTCAGCCTAATCTTATTTCTAAACCAAAATAGGACATGAGTCTCAAACAAAGCTAAGAAACCATTATAAGGTAACAAATGAACTCAATAGAACATAGCCACCAAACTATCTGGATCTTGACCAAAATAAATATCTATTCTCTAACGCTTCAATGCTTGCATGATGCCTTCAATGCTATATTTCGATTCTTCAATATCATTTATCGGGGAAAATATAATGTCCGCAATCATACTCATCCGAAAGATGTGCACGACATCCTGATTAACAATTCCATCATCAGTACTCCCAATCACATAAGTACAATGAATGTTAAGTAAAAAGCAAGTGTTGGGCTATTGACTGACCTGTGTGAAATCTCGGACTAGCCTTGTTCCATCCCAGAGCTCCATATACTTGAGCACAAATAACCCACAGAAGGTTCTGCGAATATGAAGGAAAATAAGATAACACTAGACAGTAGAAGAATACATGTACTGGATGATCAGTGTTGGAATGTACTCACCCATCAGTTTGATGTGGCAAATTGTCATCATCGACTTTATAATCAAAATAAAAATCTGGATCACTGTTCTTCCTCTTCAGCATGAGACCTAGAATTGTCCTTGCATCACCTTCTGCGATTCTTGACCTCTTGTTCTTAGAACAATAGTTGTAAATATCCTTAGTAACAATGCCAACTTTGTCATATCCTCCATATCTGCATTGAAGAACATCTCTTATGACATGCTTACGGATTCCAGCAGCTTCCATTGACATGATCTCATTTCTATGAAAATCCTTAATCTTCCGGTGAGACCATAGGAACGGAACTCCATCGGGCATTGCTAGGCGATGGTTATGCTCATCCACAAAATTATTCACGTACCAAACTCCAGGAGATCTGTGTAGTCTAATATCAAGTAATGCACTGCAATCACATCGAGTTAGGGCTCGTGGTCTACGGCTGTAATCCTCCTTGTCTAGCCATTTTTCATCTCGCTCCCCTTCTCTACAACACACAAACCACCTAAACACAATTGCCCCTGACTGCTTGCTACATCTCACTTTCTCCTTTCTAACACTGAAACCCTTGTCCCTCGCATAATTATTATAGAATGTGAATGCCTCCTCTTCACTTGCAAAAGTCTTATTTGCTATGCTTCAGAACTCATCAATTTTTTTTGTACCTGTCCCCAACATTTGCAGTACTTCCGAACATTTCCTTGTCATAACCGACATTGCCAGCTTCCTGCAAATGAAAATGGATAATGTTTCGCTCAATACTTGACATCATGCATTACTAAATTGGACATCAGTTGCAGAAAAGTAATATTGCTATTGGCCTCGCCACCGCCGGAATGGTTGTCTATGGGGGGTACGACCCCAGATGCCCACGACATACCACATGGGCTACGCCCCTAGGGGCGGCCCAGCCCACAAGACGAAGCCTTGCGGGGCACGATTCTGCTCGGCGCCTCCCGCAAGATACCGAGAAGATATCCTAAAGATACTACGAGATCTGTTAGGATATGTATGATCCCAAGATTCCTGTAATTAGTTATTACTTTCCAGTTATCTCTCAGATCTAACCGACTTGTAACCCTGTCCCTCGGACTATATAAGACGGGCAGGGACCCCCTCCAAACGCACACAATATCATACGATAGCTAATACAAACCAACATACCACAGGAGTAGGGTATTACGTCATACTAACGGCCTGAACCTGTCTAACTCGTGTGTCTCTGTTGCCTTCTTGTTCTTGATCACGCGCTTCTCTGCCGATCAATCTACCTTCGTGGGATACCCCTCGAAGGACTGCCGACGATATTCTATCGACAGTTGGCGCGCCAGGTAGGGGCTTGCATGTTGTTTCCTTATTGAACAAGATGGCTTTTTCTGCAGGCTCTTCATCCCTCCCGCAGCCCGGCCAGATCTTCACGGTCAGATCCATCTCGTGGATCATCAACGCTGACGGAGTCGGAGAGCTCCTCGAGCCAGTGTAGATCAATTCTGCGCCGATCGCCCCCGCACCTGTGACTACAGATCCAATCTCGGAACCGCCTCCGAGGTCGCCTTCATCGACGACTCGCTGCCCGCTTCCCCGCTACCAGAGGAGGTAGATCAACAATGATGATCTGATCGCATCTATTGATCGGGTTGGTCTGAAGCTCACCGATTGCCTCTCCATCGTCGAGTTAGCTCTGGACACTCTAGTTCAGCGCCGACCACCCTCCGATCCAGATCTATCAGAGGCTGCTCAAGAAAATCCAGGGGCTATGGCCCTACCCTTCGGGTTCACCAATGCCTCTACTGCTTACCAAGATGCCCTAAGGGGCAAGTTCACCGACCAGGTTGGAGACATCCATCCTCTCGCCGACTAGATCGCCGACCAGCTCCCACCGGCCGTCAACATGCTACACGTCGGCCGACGTCCCGGAGCATCCCTCCAAACCATCCCAGAGGAGAACCCAGACTTCGAGTCCTAGGGATCTACGAAAACCGTCGTCGAAACCACCACCGAACTACTTCTTCCACCTCTGTTCCGTGGCAGCGCAATTTTCAACATCAACGTCGACAGTCCCCCTCGGAACGACGAAACTGAGGAGGAACGCACTGCCCGCGAGAACTGAAACGTCAACCGTGTGCAGCGCCGAGCAAACGACATTGCTCTCGCAATGGCCGAACAGCAACTTGACTCGCAAGGAAGGTCACTCCAGCGCAACCTCGACGACGAGTTTGTTCATGTTGACGGCCATGACATCTACAAGACCCCAAGCGCCAATCTGGCGGTGGCCACCAACGAGCTCGCCCGACTCCCGCAGACACCCGAGGTCGCCAAGGTCATCGCCATGCTTAAAGTGGCGCATTGTCAGGTCAATGACATCCGCCAGGAACAGAGACCTTCATACTCCACAACTTCGATTTGCCGATCAGTCGCCACAAGAACCGATCGCCGCCCAAGTCGCTTCACCGACCAGCACCGTGATGACAGGCAACCCCTCCAGGGCGGATCCAGGGGCGACCGTGTCGAACATCACCGCTAACGTGACCAAGAGGTCGACCAGGACGTCTGAGTGCACCTCAACAATCTCTGAGATGCACGACGGCGTATCGACGAATGTCATTTCGGTCACCACAAAGAAGAAGTACGCCGCCATCAGGAGTATGAGCAAGAGTACGAAAACCCGGACTCAGCTCTCAAGCTGATCAACGCTGGCAACGCCATAGATCCTGACTCCTACCATGACCTCGAAGACCCCCAGCATTCAAGAGGGCGCTTCGAACACTTTAGTGGCCCCGTGGTTTCAAGATCACTAGGGTCGAGCCCTACGAAGGAAGAATGAACCCGACACAGTGGCTACAGGCTTATGCCACTGCTGTCCGCGCCGCTAGATGAGACACCAGTGTTATGGCGAATTATCTTCCCATCATGCTCACGCCAACCGCCATGAGCTGGTTTACAAGCCTTGCCCTGGACTCCATCAGATCCTAGGAAGAGCTGAAAAAAGTCTTCACTGATAATTACATGGCTACGTGTACTCGGCCGGGCACCAAGCATGATCTGAACCGCATCAACCAGAAGCCGTCCGAGCTCCTCCGTAGCTACATTCGATGCTTTTTCGAGATGAGGAATTATATTCCCAACATCACAGAAGCTAAGGTCATCACCGCCTTCATCCGAGGACTCCACCACCACGAGCTTCGCTCCAAGTTCAACCGCAAACCGCCAACAGGGATTGGCGAGATGATCACGACTGCCAACCAGTACGCCGACGCTGAGGAAGCTGAGGTTCGCTTCAATGAAGATGCAGGCACTCATCGCCCAACACGCCGCTATGATGACCGTCCCGATGACCGACGCCACAACGACCGCCGCTACGACGACCGCAGTTTTCACCGCGACAATGGCCGTGATCGGCTTGAAGGACCCAAGTCTGGCCAAAATTGCCGCCGCCGACCAGACCACATCATCACCACCGTCAATGAACCTCGGGCCAAGCGCAACTACGATGAGCAATACAAGAAGATCCTCGACGGCCCGTGCCCTCTCCATAAGAACGCCAAACATAAGATGAAGAACTACCTCGGCTTGGCTAAGGAGTTCTAGGACAAAAAGCTAGACGACGACACCGACGATGGAGCCGGAGGCCACCGACCACTTGGGGGCAATAACAATGCCTTCTAGGACCATGACAAGGTGGTCGCCACCATCTTCGGGGCCCTCACCTCCACCGAGAGTAGAAGAGAACGAAAGCTCACCACATGACAGGTGCTCGCCATCACTGCGGACGACACCGCCGCCAACCCCAGCTATCGCCCATGGTCCAAGGTCCTCATCACCTTCAGCAGGGCCGACCAGTGGGCAGACATCCCCTACATAGGGTGTTTCCCTCTCATCCTCAATGCAACCGTCCAAAAGGTGCTCTTCAGAAAAGTGCTCATCGACGGTGGGAGCGCTCTGAATCTCCTCTTCACCGGAGCCCTAAAGGAGCTAGGCCTCGGGTTAGCAGATCTCACACCCTCCGACGACTCCTTTTGGGGTGTGGTACCTGGCAGGGCCTCCAAACCGCTTGGAGAGATCACCCTACCAGTACAGTTCGGCACAGTAAGCAACTACCGCGTCGAGCATATCAACTTCTACATCGCCGACTTCAACACCGCCTACCACGCCATACTTGGTCGCCCAGCTCTGGCCAAGTTCATGGCCGTACTGCACTACGCTTATCTGGTGCTGAAGATGACTTCGCCTACATGAGTCATATCCCTGCGGGCCAACCTCTCCATCGCCTATGCCTGCGAGACAGAGAGTCTCACCCTCATCGAAGCCACCGACTTCTCCATCCAGATGGTCAGTGTGGTCACCGAAGCCAAGATGGTGTCCGCCGACGACATGGAGATCCTAGAGCTGGAGCCTCCTCGCGCCTCCGCCAAGTCCAAGGAAGTCAAGGAGGTCGGCCTCGGCCTCGATGACCCCTCCAAGACCATGAAGATTGGGGCTCACCTTGACCCCAAATAGGAAAGCGCGCTCATCTCCTTCCTACATGCCAATGCCGATGTGTTTTTTTGGAAACCTGCAGACATGCTGGGGGTACCACGGGAGAAGATCGAGCACTCCTTGAATGTCTCGCCGACCGCCAAACCAATCGACCAGAAACTCCGCCGATTCACGCCAGACAAGGAGGCTATTAGGGTAGAAATAAAATGGCTCTTAGCTATCGGATTCATAAAAGAAGTGTATCATCCTGAGTTGTTAGCAAACCCTGTTCTTGTTCGAAAAAAGAATAAAGAATGGAGAATGTGCGTTGATTACACTGATCTTAACAAACACTGCCCTAAAGACCCCTTCGGTCTGCCTCGGATAGACGAGGTTGTAGACTCCACCGTCGGCTACAAACTGCTCTCCTTCCTCGACTGTTACTCCGGCTATCACCATATTTCCCTCAAGAAAGAAGACCAGATCAAGACGTCATTCATCACGCCCTTCAGTGCATACTGCTACACCACCATGTCCTTAGGACTCAAGAACGCCGGGGCGACTTATCAAAGGGCTATCCAGATGTGCCTCGATCAATAGATTGGCCGCAACGTCGAAGCTTACATCGACGATGTGGTCGTCAAGTCCAAGACCGCCGATGATCTTATTGCCGACCTCGAAGAAACATTCACCAACCTTAAAAGGTACCGATGAAAGCTGAACCCTTCAAAGTGCATCTTTGGAGTTCCATCCGGTATACTCCTGGGCTACATTGTCAGCGCACGAGGCATTGAGCTCAATCCTGATAAGGTCTCCGCCATCACCAACATGAAATGGCCAACATGCGTCAAGGATATACAAAAGCT